CCCTGCCAGTTTGTCTTACGGCACATGGGGACAGCCTGCTCCCACGCACTTAAGACTTCCTTCTTGAAGAAAGCCCAGCCTTCCTGGGCCCCTTTGCCCTTCAGGACTGCCTCCCAAGGGACTTTCCCAACCAGCGTCCTGAACAGGCCAAAGTCTGCCCTCCAGAAGTCCATGGTTACAGTTTTGCTGCCCCTCCTCCTTACGTCACCAAGAATCAAAAACTCCATCATATGGTCACTAAGCCCAAGACAGCCTCCAACCATGACATCTCCCATGAGTCCTTCTCTGTTTGTAAACAGCAAGTCAAGTGAGGCACCTCCCCTGGTAGGCTCACTTACCAGCTGTGTCAGGAAGTTATCTTCCAGACACTCTAGGAACCTCTGAGAATGTTTCCTCTCTGCTGTGCTGTATTTCCAGTAGATGTCCAGCAAGTTGAAGTCCGCCACGAGAACAAGGGCTAGCGATTGTGAGACTTCCAGCCGCTTATAGAACACTTCATCTATCTCTACATCTTGGTTGGGTGGTCTATAGCAGACTCCCAGCAGGACGTCTGCCTTGTTGGCCTTCCCCTTCGTCCTTACCCATAAGCACTCGACCTTATCATCACCACTGTTGAGCTCTATACAATCAAAACACTCCCTAACATACAGAGCCACCCCACCACCTCTCCTTCCTTGCCTATCCCTTCTGAAGAACTTATAGCCATCCAATGCAGCACTCCAGTCATGAGAGTCATCCCACCATGTTTCTGTGATGGCGACTAAGTCGTAGCTATCCTGCTGCACAAGGGCTTCCAGCTCCTCCTGTTTGTTGCCCATGCTACGTGCATTGGTGTAGATGCGCTTGAGACGGGCTATTGATTTCACCCCCAACGTTGCCATGGGGTGGCCCTGGGCTCCTCTCTAGCGAGCCTGGTTACATCCCCTTCCCCCTTTGAACCTAGTTTAAAGCCCTCTCAATGAGTCCCGCCAAGTCATGAGCAACAGAAGCAGAGCTAGGCTTGGTTTTATCCTTTCTATTGGTGTCTCATGGGAATGCTTTTTTGCCAGGAGGTGCAGATCTGGATGCCATATGCCTCCCCTCAAACCCTTCACCAGCGTGAGGTGGTAGTTCGGACCTTCAGTGGGCAGAGCTGGAGTGATCTGAGAACAAGAGTGGAGCAGAAGAGAAAATCAAAGGTAAGCAGATTGGAATGACCAGTGACACACATCGTTCCTGTTCCCCTCTTTGGTTTTGCCCAGTCAAGAGTGAGCCTGTTTGAAACATCTTGTGAGCTGTGTTTTGACCAGCTGCTCTAAAATGTAGTGGATTTCAGCACCAGGATTCCTCTCTCATGGAGGTGTGTCTCCTGAAGGTGATGAGTTGCAGCCTGCCATGCTTCATCCCTGTTCTAGTGCTTTCATCTGCTCAGCTGTTACTGGCACTTATTTTCCTGCCTTTATTGTATTATGTTACATGCCTATATGTTTTCTCTTCTTCCATGTCTTCTGTTACAGAAGCATGTGGCTCACTGTAGCGTCCTTCACTTCTCTTGGTTCCTCATTGTGTCTCGACTTGTGCAAAATGAATGCAAAGTGCCAACAGAGGGGACATTGCTCTTCTCCAGTGTGGATCCAAACATCAAAGTGACCTTTCCTCCTGGAGTCACTGAAGAGACTCGCAGTGTCAAGCTGCAGGTATGCATGCTTTAAAAAACAAGCTTTGGTAAGCCCTAGTGCAGCTGTTGTCCCGTGCCAAGGAGAGCCGAAGGTGAGATGTCCACCCTAAGGTAATTCAGGTCTGACATGGATGCTTCATGGGCTGACCCATCTCAGATCACCTTCTGTCTTAGCTTCCCTGCCTGCAAAATGGGCTGTGCTCCAAGCTGCCCTGTGTGGGAAAGGGATCTCCTCGCAGCTCTGCCATTGCTCCCTCCAGCAGATCAGGAGGTAGCTGCTGTGAAGGGAACACAAGGAGATTTTGCCCCTTGTTCCCTTGCAAAACATACTGAGCCTGGCAGAACAGCTCCATGAGTGAGATGGGGGGTGGATTATTTATGCGGATCTAATTCTAAAGCCACTCCACTAAAATTAATTGTTCTGTAGAGTTGCTAGATAGTGTTAAATGCTATTGCAACACCTTGGTCTGTCCCAGCTTGCCAGGTTGACACCAGTATTAGAGCAGACTTCAGCCAAAGTTCACTATGCTTACATTTCTCACTGGGCCCTGGGCTAAGAGCAGCATTTGCCTGCTGGGTGCTGGGGGAACTGAATGAGTCATGCAGGAATTTGGGTGCCTGACAGCTCTGCTTGCTGTGCTGTCTTCCACATCCAGGTGCTGCCGGTGTCTGCAGAAGAGATAGAGGAAATCACAGCCGATGCAAGGTGCAGAGCCAGTCCCCTGCTCTGCCTCTCCCAGGACTCCCTGGTGGATTTTCTCAGGCCAGTGAGAATTCAGCTGCCCCTTCCGCCCGGGGTCACAGGTCAGTTTATTCCCAAAATTGGCAGAGAGAAATGCCATATGTGGAAAACCACAAATGGCAAGCTGGGAATTTTGTTTGCCTCTCCTGTTAATAATAAAGCTTGCTGCTTTTCCTGCAGGAACAGCAAGGTGCATCTGCTGGGTGAGTGGTAGTGCAGGGTGGTGGGAGCTGAAGGTAGTTCAGCTCCAGCAGACCAGCAGCACAAGCTGGGAGAATGGCCTTGGCAAATGGATTTCTCTGCCGAACTGCATGTGTATTTAGACTGCTGGGTGTGCTGTGATGGATTGGAGAGGCACTCCTGCCAGCTGAGGAGATGCTTTGTAAAAGGGCTTTGATTCATGATTGGGAATAGCTTGAAACAGATAATGAAGATGCTGCCTCCGGGGGTCTGCCTTCTCTCTTACTTCCTTGCTCATGAATCAGGTGCTGAGCCACTGCATTTAAAAGTGTATGATCATACACTAAGCCATCTCCCACTCTGAATACTGCTATAAACAGCATCAGCCATGCCAGGGATTCCTCTGTTTGTGTGCTGTGTACCTTTTGTCTCCTGATTCCTATTTTCTTTGACTTTTCCTGGCTTTCTTGTGAAGAAGTAAAATCTTTTTGGGTGCTGCTTGGCTTTCATTGTAACACTGCCTGGTATTTGTACATCTGAAGTGCATCAGGATTGAAAAGTCTGTGGGATGCACGTTCAGAAAGAGATAATTAGTAACCCTAGATATTGGTGATGGGAATTGTCTAATGAATCTGTTAGTGGAAATCAGCACACTATCGGTTTAAGTCTGCGTATTCTGCCAGAATATCCCGGAATCATTGCAGTAGCCTCATCCTTTTATTGCTCCTCTTCTTTGACCGAAGTTCAGTCCTGGATGATAAGCCCATGAGCCTTAATTTAGTGCTTTTAAAAAGTGAATCACCCAAAACTGTGGCTGGGTTTGTAAAGCCATGAATAAAGGCTTCTGCTGTATATAGCATCCCTTGATCGTTACTGTCTTTAGGGCTAAATCTGGATCGGTCAAGGCTGCATCTTCTCCATGGTGACCTGGAGGGCCAAACCTGGGATGACATTACCAGTCAGGTGGTGCTGGAATTCACCCATCTTTATGCAGTATTTGAAGTCACCCACTTCTCCTGGTAAGTGCAGGATTAGTCCTGAGGAAAAGATGGGATGTTCCTCTGCCTTGCTTTTCCCACATTCTGACCAGGGTTCGTGCCATTAACCCTACCTGTTCTCCCTTTTCTCTTCGCAAGTCAGAAGAAGTCTCCATTTTCTCTTTGCTTAGCACTTTGTCTCTACCCATCATTTTTTACAGTCTCGTGGGTGTGGCAGTGGCTTCTCTTCCTAGGGGGGATCTCTCCTTTTCTTAATTCCTTGTCTGCCAGGTACTGGCTGTGGTATACCACCAAGACCTACATTGGAGGCATTGCCAAGAAAGTCTACGAGCGGCTGCGCATGTACCAGGTGAACTTCATTGCTCTGCAGAGGAAGAAGGACCCCGAGCAAGTCCTGCTACAGTGTGTCCCCAAGCACAAGGTCTGATCTGGGTTGCATTGCCTTGCTCCTGAGCTTCCTGGGCCTCCCTTTGTAGGATGTAAGGGCAGCAAATGGTTCTGTTCACTGCCCCAGGGTCATGGCTGGGGTATGCTGTCACCACACTGTGTTGGTAGTGTGATACTGGCTCACTGGGAGCTGGGGGAAGAAGGAAAGCTCATTCTGTACAGTGGTGGATGCCATGCAGTGATTTCCTCCCCTGTGAACCTTGACTGGGCTGCTAAAATCAGCTAAGCCACACTAACTGGTCATGTGTGTGCTGTTGGCGTCCAGCAAACATTAGGCAAAATATGTTGGCTTAAACTTCGGTCAAAGATATTAAAGTTAACATGTCACTTGTCTGACATGGGCTAGTAGTGTGGGCAGAAGCACTGCTTTAGTTTCAGCTGGAGTGGTTAGAAATGGTACTCCTCCTGATGTTCCTTGCTGTTTGTGGTTCAAGCAGTGCAACAGAACATATGAGCCCTCCTTAATCTGCTTCAGTGCAACATCAGGTTAGTTTATGCTATTAGTTTGAGCTAATCTGGTTGACTTTGTATAGAAGGAGATGGGAAGGGCTCACGCATTCTCTTCTGCTGCTTTTGCCCTAGGGGTATCAGCCCTCAGCAGTGTTCCTTCATATGTTAGCAAAGTAAGCGTGCATCTGTGTTTGTAGAGTGTGTACCTTGACAGACAGTGCAGCTCAGTGAGGTGAGGGTTATTTTATCAGACTGCCAGAACTGGGCTGTGTATCCAACTCTCTGCATAATCCTCTGGTCTGGTTGCTCCTTTTTTTTCTTTATTTGTTTTCCTGTATTGAAATGACCTGTGGGCACAAACATCTGTAAGGATTCTTTATATCTTGGATTCTGGGCTAAGATTGTTTCCAGAGGAGGCAGCAATGGCACTCACAGTGAGATTGGGGTTTGGGGGTGTCTGTATTCCTGCCAGGGATGGTCACGGGGTGAGAGAGAAGATTTACTGTTACAAATAGAAGAATAGACACCTCGGCTCTAGGCTGACTCTTGCACTGCCTCTGAGACCCCAGGTCTGACAGTGTGATCACAGGCTGCAAAGCCAAAATGAGCTTTCTGGTGTCCTCAGCTGTGTGCCATTGTAGCACGTGGCTTTTTTCAGAGAAAATGTCTTTTAAGGGCATACTGTGAGGGGGATAAGGTAGCAAGTAAATCCCTTCCTGTCTTTGAAGGTTACTGATCTGCTAAAAAGGTGGAGACATTGCTGAAAATGCTTTTTTCATGGCAGTTTTGGGATGGCCTATCTTTGTTAGTCCACATAGGCTTTTCTGCTTTTTACTTGAGAAGAGAAATAGGGAAGCCACAAAACTCAGAGCACCACTTCCTTGTCTGTAGTGAATGTACCTGGGATAGGAGGGGGTGGGTATTTGTTCATTTGTTTACATCCTTTCCATATAAAATGGACTTTCCCTGTTGAAGGTGAGTGAGAGGAACATCATGGGCGTAGGGACATGGGTCAGGGGATAGACGTGCTTCAGACCAAACATGGGGTCCTGTGTTGTCATCCTTGTCAGGTTGACCCAGTGCTGAAGAAGCTGCAGGACCGCTATCGAGGACCGGAGCCATCCGACATGGTGGAGATGTTTGAGGGAGAGCAATTTTTTGCAGCTTTTGAGCGAGGCATCAGCATCGATATGGGTATGGTAGTACTGGGCTCATTTCTGCTCCTACCTCTTGTGCTTCTCTAGGCCTAGCTGCGTTTCTGCTGGGGGCTGTACTCCTCCATGGCATTCCTCTCTGTCTCCAGCTCGCCCACTACTCACAGCAGCCAGCCCATGGACATTGAACTTGTCACATTCTCTGGTCACCCAACTTTTGTGTCTGCTTTTCCTTACGAAATTGCTGTTTGCAGGCTTTCATTTCCTTTCATGCTGTTGTAGCCTGCAGAGGGCAATAACCAAGTACATGTATTTTATGACTGATCTGCTTCTGCAGCCAGCTATGCCCTTTTCCTAGCATCTTAGACACCACACTGGAATGGCCACGGTGATCTAATTAATGTTGCCCATTTCTGAGAGAACACATATGAAGATTTTTTTTTTGAGAAGGTATTTCTGAAATAATCCAGAGCAAATAATTCTCCCATGGAATGGAGCCATTAGAAGAGAAGGAAGGAGGGAGCAGGACCAAAACTCAAGATAATGTTTTATGCCCCAATGTGTCTGGACCTGTTACAGCTGCAAACAGAGCCATTTTCTGCAATACCTGAATGTACAGCTCAGTTTCATTGGTGTAAATTAAGCACAACTCTATGAAGAATAATAAAGTGCACTGGTCTTTCAGTGGAGTTCATGAGGCCAGAGTCTGTCCCTCTGTCCTGATTTAGGCTGGACTCTAACTTACTGTCTAGATAATTACATACATGAATGTTGTACCTGATTATATTTTTTTCCCTTTAGCTCTATTCCTATTTCTGCACCCACTGCAGAAATGGTGAAGAGATAGGTGACCTATTTTTGTGCATTAAAGAATGCTATTGCAGCTGATTCTACCCACCAAGGGGTAGAATGGACCAAGGATGGGAGGGGAGTGCCAAGGATGGACTTGACTCTATCTGGATGTCTTGCCCTGCCTTGCCTTCCGTTCTTGAACTTGATCTCCACCTTGTGGCCATTCTCCTTTTTCACCTGAAGGACCTGCTTTCTCCACAGTCAGTGTTTTCTCCTTTCCAGCGTCACCCAGGGAGGAAGGAGGAGTTAGAATTCTTTCAGGCATGAATAGAAGGAGTAGATAGTAGCATGGAGGCTGCTAATGGATGATGGGCTGTTGGCCAGGCTTGAAAAGCTGCACAGTTTTCTGCACAAGTTGAGTGTTTGCTGCTTCTCTGCACAGATCGCCCCGACTGCGTGGATGGACGTCTCTCATTTATTTTTTACTCCCACTTGAAGAATATGAAGGAAATCTATGTGACCTCTCCTGTAGACAGGAAAGGCCAAGCTGTAAAAGGCCAGGTAAGCAACCAGTTACACTGACTTTTTGTTTTCACCTTCATCATTTTCATTGCTTTTACAATGCTCCTCATAATAATCTCTGAGTGCCGGGCATGACTCTTTTCCTCCCCTCTTTCCCTTGGCTTTGCATTTCACTGACTAAGCCCTGAATAAACAAGAAGAGTAGCCTGGAAGGATCACTCATCACTTAGCTTTCTGACTTACATTCCTGCCATTAACTCTTGGGGTGTTGGCAGTGAGTCCAGCCTTTATGGCAGAACCTCAGTGTTCCTCCCAGTTTTACTTAATTGGGAGGCCATATTTATAGACTGAGGAGGATAGGTAAGAAATGCTGAATTCATTCTTTCCCACACAGAAAAGACGATGGTGCAAACAGGCTTGGCCAATGTGCTTGAATATGAGCCTCACTGCATGCTTTCTGTTTGCAAAGGTCTCTTTCTACCGAGGGGCAGTTCCCCAGAGCATCCCTGAAGATGCCAGCAGGAGGAGGAAAGGACCAGACTCCCTCTGGCTTGCTACTCTGCCCATCAAACTGCCTGTGAGTTGTTTTGTCTCCTACAGAAAAAATAATCTAGGTGGGGTAAGAGCACGGCCTTCCTGCTCAGCTAATTTTGTCTTCCTCCATGAGAACAGATGCAATGAATGACTGCAAGAAATGGCTGCCCAAGCATGTCATGGTGGAGACGTCCCACTCCCCATGAGCTTTTCTGAAAAGAAACATGAATAGCTGGGAGTGGTCTCCATCTCTGCTGCTCATCTTCCCTGTCAAGCACAGGCTTGTTGGATGGGTGGTCAGAGAGGGTGGATCCTTTAAATGAATGAGGGATGTAGAACAGGAGGAAGCTTGCTGTAATTAAGGGAAGTGTCTGTTTTGTTTATACATTTCTTAGTCACACAGCTCATGCAGCAGGAAGAAAGAAAAATCTAGAATGAGGTAGGTAGGCTGGATTTGAATACAGGCGTTGAATATAAGTATTCTGGTTTGAGCCACTGGCTTTTAAAGGCTAGGCTGTATGTTACAGTGAGAAATGCAACTTTTGCTTATGGAATTTAATTGATTTTTGAGAAGCTTAAAACAATAAATACCTTTGTAGGCTGAATGCTTCCCTTCAGATCATGTGCCATAATCTCACATCCCTTTCTGACACATGCAACCTCAACTACAAAACTAGACTAAGTGCTCTCTTAGGCACTTAGGCAAATATGCTTTGGGGAGATGGTTCATTGAAAAATGCTCCATAAAGACAGGAAAGGAAATTTCCAGTGTGCGCTATGACTGTGTATACTATGATTTGATATTTTTCAGAGGCAGTGAGCATTGCTGGTCATTGCCAGTGTGAGTGCTCCTTGCTTCTTACAGCCTGACTCTTCAGCCCCAAGATCTTCCTTCCTCCCCAGTAGCAGGAAGGAAATTTCAGTGTGGAGACTGAATGGCCAGACACTGTCCTCTACAAAACCAATTTATTTAGCATGTTCTCTCGGTCTCTTCTCTGTGACACAGCGATTGAAACCCCGCTGGGGTGAGAACCCTGGATCCTTGAATGGCTTCTCCTTCCCTCCCTTGAACCTGGGCAACGCTGAGACTGGCTACCTGACTCAGGCAAACCTGCTGAGCATTGCCAGGCGGGTGGGAGCTGACTGGCAGATCATCGGCCTGAACCTGGGCTTGACCTATCAGCAGATTGAGCGCATAGGATACAATAACAGGTAAGATAGGACACAGTGATCAACCATGATGCATTATATCTATCTGTCTATCTATCTGCAGTGTAATAGTATAAATTAATGCTTGGCTGGTGGAAAGTTTTCCCACTGGAACTGTTTCACTGGATAAAAGATGGGTTGGTTCTTCTCAAAACATTACCTTTTTTATAGAAAACTGATTATTTTCTCTTGCCTTTATAAAACAAAGCTTTATGTTTGAAAAGCAAAATGCGGAAATAGCAAACCCAATGAGCTTTGTAGTTCAGATGAGTCGCATTCTTGTTTTGTTCTGTGATCTGGATTCCTGGCCAGACTCCATCTCTGACAATGAGCAGTGGTCTATGGCATTAATTGTGAATATCATCTTTATTCAAAAAGAGCTTGTGGTACGTCATGGGACATGCAGTCTGACCAAAAAGCCAGAGCATTAGGAAAGAATGAGACTTGTTATGACCAAACTACCATTCCTGTGAGGAATTTACATTCAAAAGCAGAATGCTTTAATTTGATATTTCCATTAGGAAAAACCTTTCTAGAGAGATTTTAATGCAGGAAGTGCAACTGTGGGCAGGGAAGAGGGAGGCCCACTGAGTGCTTTGTGTGTCTGGATGGCTTCTTCGGAGCACCAGTCATGGGCTAGGACTCAGGTAAAGCCTCTTTGGGTTGCCAGTCAGGAGAGCGTGTTCATTACTTCTGTGCTTCCCCCTTTCTTCAGAGAGGACCTTGATAAGCAGATCCTGGACATGCTTTTCTCATGGGCTCAGCAAAACTCGGAGGATCCTGACTGCGTGAGCAAGTTGATTGCAGCCATGAAAGAGAGTGGTCGCCAGGACATCGCTGATGAGGTCGAAACCATCATTGAGCTGGGACGGCAGAAATACAGGGAGTCCATCCGCCGGGTGGGCTTGGAGCAGGAGAGCACCACTGAGGACTCTGCAATAGCTATGATGTAGCACCTAGCAGAAGGAACTGGGTTTCGTATGGGGTCCCTCTGCATACCTGGAGTGACAATGTCTTGGGGCTGCTTCCACCTCAAGGGCCAGTCTCTTCCCGAGGAGCTGGACGTTGATTTACTTGTGAGCAGACTACTGAGCTCTCTTGGGTCTATACTCACATGCCACTTCTGCCAATCCCAGGCAGTTTAGAGTGCATTTATGAGCCTTTTTTGTACTTCCACTTCTTGACCCTGAGCTTTAGATTTCAGAAACGTGGAGAAATTCAGAGACTGAAGTGTCTGTCAGTTGAGTAGTGGCTAAAGTAGCCTTTAATTAATTAATACTTATGTTACATATATTTATTTATAACTTATTCCTGAAACTGTGTTCTGCTGGAAACACTGGGTGTGAGCATTTGGGTCTGTTTGTGCTCTAGTGCTTGATGGGAAAGTGGAGATGCAGTCCTGTTATGAAGGCCTGTGGTGCAGTGGGGACTGTTCAGCTATTTCTGTTAATGATGTGTTTTGCTCACATGAAAATACGAACTGTATTCCCCATGAAAATATTTTCTGTTTTCTGCCAAATCTCTTCCAGTTCCCTCAAGTCCAAAACAAAACCTAAGTATTCATGGGGAAAAAAGAAGAAACTAATTTCTAGCAAAATTGCTCTTGTTTTTTGGTTTTGCTCCAAAAGCTACTTTGGAACAAATAAAATTTCACATTGTCCCTAGGTTGCTGCACCTGCCAGGCTTTTTAGGTGAGACCTACATGCTGCTGTTCTTTGACAGAGTTCCAGTTTTATTTTACAAATAAGTAAAAATCCATAACCCTGCTGTTCTGGGAGAGACTCTAAGTGAAAGTAAAATTTCCCTTGCAGTTTCAAAGGGATATTCCTCACATCCTCCCAGTGAAATATGCCCATGTAGTAGTGAAGGTGTGACCCCTTTGTGAAGCTTGGTGAAAAGCAGGACTTAAATTTGCATTTTAAAAACTGGTCTGACCAGCTGTGAAACAGGCATTGTTGTGGGATTGGCATGAACTGTGATGAGCTAACCTCCCAGTTTTGCAGTCTGAACATCTTGTATAAGGCTGGAAGTGTTTACTGCATTTTAACTGCTAAGTCATTGACTACTGAGGTGCCCTTCTCTTCCTGTTCCCCATCTCACAATGGGCCTCAACTAATGACTCACTAATGACAGTGGGAAGTTTCATGTAAGCTTTTTGAAAGACTACTGTCATCTACATAAATTCAACTCTTTCAAGACAGGTTTGGATTCAACATATCCCACTCCCTAAGCAATATTTAAAGGGCTGTTCTCAGTCTGAAAAACAAAAGTCTGTATAAAAACACCAGGTTGCAACACCCAAAGTCAACCTGCAGCTGCAGGTCTGAGAAATCCTGGTGTTTTCTTCCCCCTGTGAGGAATCATGGGTGGTTTCCCTGATGCTGTGTTTCAGACCTGCCATCAGTACTATTGAAAGAGAGTCATAAAATCGTTCTGCCTTTTTTTTTTTAAAGGCCATTCTAACATCTCAGCCCACAGAGTGATTAGTGTCCAGTCCAGAGCAGTGGACAAGGACTTGCAGACTTGAGTTGTTGCCTTGGGCCTAGGGACTTCCTCAGATCTGATGTCTTAGGTCATGCTGCCCCTCAAGTCTCATTTTGGGTTCAAGTCAGCAGTTCTCTTTTGAATGTATGTTTTCTCTGGTAGTTTGTGTCATGTGTTCTTGTCTGTAATTTTGATGTATACCAACAAGGTATTTGTTCTTTCCTCCAGTTTTGGAGAGATGCATTTGGGCATATTGCTCTCACTGGGAATAAAATAAGCACTTAACTGTTTCACAGCATGGTCTGCTAATCCATAAATGCCTCGAGGTGTTAGACAGAGCCAGGTCCCTTTAAACCTGCTGGCAGAAAGACACAGCTGAGTTTGGCCATGCTGCACAGAAATGGGAGAAGAGCTCGTGTTTGGATACTGCTGACTGCAAAGCGCAGGACGGACTGTAGCTAACTCAGGTTAATGGTATCCCTGTAGCTTGGCTTTGCTGCAATGGGACTAAGCCGGGAAACACAACATTCGGGGCATGGGTTTGACTAGCTGCGCATATGACTAGGGCTCAGGTGGAGCGGGTCTAGGGAGCAACAAGGCTAGTCTAGAGGGGACAGCGCGTAGGCTTAGCCTGGCCTCCGATGAAGGTGCAGGAGGCTTTTGGCTAGGCAAAGCTAGGCTAAGGAAGTCTATAGGTAGCATAAAGTAGCATCCACAGCTACAATGGGATCAAGCTATGCTGCACTTAGCTTTCCATTTGTGACAGCCAGGCAAACAGCTGAGTTAGACAATGCCAAAATAAGGGTTGGATAGGCTGGACTCTATGGAGGGCTCATCCAGGCATCAGCAGAGCTACAGCTCTTCCAGATAACAGATAGATTGGGCTAGGAGAGAGGGAGGTTAGTGCTAGGTGTTTAGGTATGGGCTACATGAGGCCAGGTGACAGGAGATACCAAACCCTAGACAGTATCATCAGTAGAACAGCTCTTCAGGATTTGGGCCGATAACTTAAGAAAAGTTAAGTAACTACCCAAGACAAGTATTGTTATCTCCAGTCTTTCAGTGCCAAGTGGCAGCTGCTGGGCTGGGCCGCCTTGCTGGCATCTGGTTTTCTCCTTGCAGTGACACCGAGGCAAGCACCCAGCTGAGGATACAGAGGTGCTCATGGGAAATCAGAGCAAGCATCGACTACTCTTTCCTTCAGTTGACTTGGCAGCAAATATCTGAGCAAATATTTGAGAGTCAGCAGAAAGCATGTTATTTTCAGGTGTGTTATCTTTATCAATAATCTCTCTGAGGCACAGTAACTTCTTCATGAGCCTGTAGTTGCTATGGCCAGGAAATGCTGTTTACAGTTGCAGTAGATGGTTGAAGCAGAAGAAAAACCCCAATGTGGCATTTATCTTTTGAATCAGAAGATTGCTTTCCTTTCTGGCTTGTTTCATGAATTCATCACATACTGGAGTAATCTCTTTCCCATCTGGCTTTTCCTGGTGCCTATTAGGCACTGTACAGTGTCCTACTGATGATCTGGCAGATTTTGTGGGTTTTACTGCGCACGATTCTGATGTGTCCAAAATTCCCCCAAATAAATTTCAACCAGGAAAAGCTTCCTTACAAAAAAATTTAAAAATAAAGGGAGAAGTTGTTCAGGAGTGGGAACATTTTTTCTCCTTCTTTTTTGACTGTAACATCTATACCTCTTTAGTCTCATAATTAAACCCTTTTCTACTTCATAAACTTGCATATGTCCAGCAGAATGACCAAGTGGCCCTGGGAGGTGAAAGTGTGTTTCCCATATACCATCCCTCCACTTCCAGGTTCTGCTAACCACGACAGTCCTCTGGCTGTCAGGAGACAGATTCAGGTAAGATGCTTCCAGCCCCTGCAAAAATTAATAAAAGAAATTGCTGAGAAGTAAAAGCCCAGGCAAAGCTCAAATCAGTTTATTAATTCTATAAAAAACACAGGGCAAAGCATGACTATATCCTGCAGGGAGTTAAACTGTTTACACGGTCCCAGCAGTAAAATGCTCTATAATTCCCAGTAAAAGACCTGAAGGAAATACGAAGGTGGGTGGGAGCCTGCAAGGGCTGTGTTCAGTTTGTCCGTTTACTGTGGCCAGACAGCAACACTGTAATTCAGCACATCCATAGGATTTCTCTGATAAGGGAAAAGAGATACCTGTGGTATGTTGAGGACTGGATGGTTCAGCCATGAACCTACCGAGCTTGATACAAAACTGAGGGAGTGTTAGAAGATACCCTGCCAATTGACAAGATTTCCTGTTTGGTACCCTACAGTGTCCATACTTGACAGTGTCATGCTGCTGTTGCTTTTTAAAAGGGAAGGGAAATCTTATGGTCCTTAAATTCACTGTTTTCCCCCAAAAGGAGGATCACAGCATGTTTTCAGCCTTTAAAGCCAAGAGTAGCTTTCACTGGGAAAGGTGTGGGGCTGGTTTTCAGACACTGGTGTATCAGACCCCAGCCCAGGGCTGCCTCGAAGTGAGCCTACCATGCTTATCAGTTGTATATTGTTAAGATGAAGAAAATAGCCTTCGCTACAGTTAAGCCTGTGGCCATTTCCTGAACTCCACAGAAATAAACTGTATGTTCTTAAAGCACTGTTTTTCTGTAAATCTGTGTGGCTTGAAAATCCACGAGGAGAGTTTGATGCTTGTTCCAGTTCTCAGCTACCTTGAAGGAACTTGGTGACTGGGAAATGTAGAAACCAGGTAGGTACCATGACAATGGAAAATCTAGCCTCTACCCTTCCTGCCTCACAGTAGGTCTGTAAGTTGAACCCACGTAGAAGGTTGCTTTGGGGGACTGGGACTAAGATCCTTCCACTTGGTTTGCTCATTGAACACCAGTGCAGTTCTTGTCTTTTCCAGAGAGGAGATAGCGGAAATGGAAAATGTTCAAGGTGCAGGAAGGATGCTCAGAGATGAGTACTACAGAGTATTTTTAATTCTTTTTACAGCAGAGTATTACATCTCCGGGGAAAGGATGAAGACTGTGAATAGATGGTTGCCTTCCACTGTTTCTCAACTAGGTGGCACCAAATGAAATAATCCAACGTTACCTGCAAATAAGCAAAAGGAGGTACTTTTTTCCCCGCTGTGCATAGTTCTAACACTGACTCCTTGCTGTGAGATGTTTGAGGCCAAAATATAAATTTTGTGTTCAGAAAGTAATTGGTTAAATTGGTGGGAAAAAGATCCTCTGAAAAGAAAACAAATGTGGAAAGCTGAATGCGTTCCCACATGGAAAGAATTTCTCAGGCAAGAGATGAATAAGAGAGCAGCAACAGAGTATGTGGAGAGACAAAGCAAGTAGAGGAGGCAGATCAGGCATCTCTACTTGCTTTCTCTAGAAAGGCAGGATGGTTATAAGTCTTGCTTCTGCTGAAGCTGAAGCTGCCCTGTGGATAAGGGGAGACCATGCTTGCATGGGTTGGAGGCAGC